CCGCGTCCGCGACGCGCGACGAGACGATCCGCGCGGCGAACGGCTTCGCGGCGGTCATGCCCGTGGACAAGCGCGAGGTCGTCCTCGTGCTCCAGCGCGCCTTCGACCTCGTCGTGGGCATGACGGGCGACGGCGTCAACGACGCCGCGGCGCTCGCCCAGGCCCAGGTGGGCATCGCCGTCGAGGGCGCGACGGACGCCGCGAAGAACGCGGCGGACATCGTGCTCACGGCGCCGGGCCTCAGCGCCATCTACGCCGCCGTCTACGAGTCGCGCCTCATCTTTCGCCGCGTGCGGTCCTACGTGCTCTACCGCGTCGCCGCGACGGTGCAGATCATCGCCGTGCTCTGCGCGTTGATCTCAGGGCGGCAAAAGGGTGATTCAACGTCGCTTCAACGTGAGTGTTCCGCGCGCGCGCGTTTCAAAGACAGCACCCACGCTTCGAGAGCGCTCCGAGAGACGATCGCTCGTCCAACAATCAGCCGAAACGAGCGGAAAACGACCGAGATAGGAGCCTTTGAATTTGGGAATTTCGCACCCTTTTGCTGCCCAGGTTGATCTTCGGCTGGAACGCGGAGCTGGACCCGCTCTACGTCGTGCTCCTGGCCCTCTTCAACGACGCGACGATCACGCCCATCGCCCACGACAACGCGACGCCGAGCCCGACGCCGGAGACGCCGACCGTGGGGGGGCTGCTCGCGGGCGCGCTCGCGCTCGGCCTCCTCCAGGCGGCGTCGTCCGTCGCGTTCTTCGTCCACGGCGAAAAAATCACGGGCATCGCCGGCTTCCTCGACGACGACCGGGCCGCCGTCCGCCAGGTCGCCGTCTACTGCCAGATCTCCATCGCCGTCGAGCTCCTCATCTTCGCGTGCCGCGCGCCGAAGCCCGTCTTCACGACGAAGCCGCCGTCGCTCGCGCTCTTCGCGTCGGTCATGGGCGGCAACGCCATCACGACGCTCATGTGCGCCTACGGCGTCATCGTCGCGGCGACGCTCGACGGCCGCGCGCTCCTCGGCATCTGGGCCTACGACCTCGCCGCGTTCCTCGCGCTCGACCTGCTCAAGGTCGCCGGCCTCTGGGCCGTCGACGGCCTCGAGCGCGCGGCCTTCGAGCTCCCGCCGCCGGACTCCATCCAGAAGACGCTCGCCACGGCCGACGCGGCGCTCCGCGACGACCGCGGCTCCGCGGTCTCCCGCGGCTCCGCGGTCTCGCGCAAGTCCACGTCCGACCGCCTCTCCGCGGCGCTCTCGTCGCGCAAGTCGTCCCTCACGGCGGGCGCCCGCCCCCGGGCGGCGCCCGGCGGCACCCGCGCCTCGGAGCACGACCGGCCCTCCCTCAGCACGACGCTCCTCCCCTCGACGCCCGCGAACGTCGCGCGCGTCGCCGCGCGCCAGGCCTGAAGACCCACGACGAACGACCCCCGACGGCCCCCGCCTCCCTTTTATCCGCCGGGTGCTAACCAGAAACTTACGGGCTGGGCGCGCGAAGGGGGCGGGGAGCTCGGCACGCGTCGACTCGGCGGCTCCTCCGACGAGGAGCCGCGGCGG